ATCACAAAAAAAATATTTACATTTTAAAGTTGATTATACTATGTTCAATACATCTACCACATTGTACGTTTCATCTGAAAACACATAATTTTCTCAAGAAGCTAACGTTGATTGTATTAGAAATAGAAGCTCCAAATAATTAAATGATTCATTTCAAATAGGTGAACATCATTAGGTCACAGTGAAAAATGTAAAGTTTAACAAGTAGGTTATATAAATTATTAAATTTATTTGGTAATGGATCTAGAGTCTTAAAACATACTGAATGGAAGTAAATATGCTGATCATTGAGTTTTAAACTCGCAATTAAAATATATCATATTAACTATTGGTGATCTACTAAACAAGATAATAAATTAATTGTGGTCAAAGATTAGATTTTTTTGAATTATTTTTAAATAATGATAAAATCAATATGCATCGATTAATCAGAAAACGAAATAAAGCAACCGAGTTAAGAGAGACAGCCTAAAAAATTATCTTTGAAAAACCCCTTTATACCTAATTAGCATATTTTGATGAAGTAGTTTTTTGATCATTTTGTACCTCGGTAATATTCACTTTTGGCAAAGGCGAGATATCCGTTTGCTGACTAAAGGACGCGTGTACTGTGCAGTAGTCCGCTTCGTCTTACTTTATGGCTGTGAAACATGGCCAGTGAGAGTAGAAGATATTCATAGGTTACTGGTTTTCGATCATAGGTGTCTTCGAAGCATTGCTCGTATATCGTGGGACACTCGAGTGAGCAACGCTGATATTAGGAATCGGGTGCTAGGTAAGAATAGCAGAGCAATAGATGAAGTGGTGAAACTTCATCGGTTGAGGTGGTTGGGACATGTGTTGCGTATGCCCAACCACCGACTGCCTCGTCGAGCTTGTTTTATAGTGTACGAATAGGTTGGAAGAAAGTTAGGGGCGGCCAAACCAAAACATGGCAGAAATCCATGAAGTCATTGACAAGTGGACTGAGTCATGTCGGTAGTTGTCGACTACCTGGTCGGGGTCTGCGAGATGATAATAATCGATGGTTAGATACCCTGAATGACATGGCTCAAAACCGTTTGCGATGGCGCCGGTGCATTTACTCTTTGTGTTCTCTCAAATCCTAATCTTCTGGATTCTTCAACACCTCTAGTTTTGACTTTCTAAACTTTTATCACTGAATCATACTTCCTGAATAATATCTTCTGATCCCAACCTCTTCGATTACTTCTAATACCTTTACTACCTCTTCTACTATTGGATTTGTATTGACAATTATATCTCTGTGTTGATGTGGTATGGCAACATGAACTGATGTACTTACGTACGATAATATTTATCACTGATTGGTTAGCCTCTTATCCTTTGTTTTAATGTTGGTGAAATATATATTGTGACCTGCATCTCGCTCAGTTTCACTTCATATTTTGTAGTGTTGAAAGTAATGTTCTTTTGCAGTTTATTTGCTTTTGATTACTAATTCCAGAATATCCAATTAGTGAAAAGCACTTTAACTACTTACAAATTAATCAGTAGACAGACGGTTTATAAGAATAATATTTCACATAGATGGTATTTCTATTTGAAGCATATATCAACATTACAATATAATAGTAATGTAATTTTATCACACTGACGTATTATAATATACCTTATATTCAAATTTTCGTATGGGCAGTGTTTGATAAATTTTCACACAACTTATTTGCAACATCCCTGTAACCGCAAACAAAGTCATTATGAACCAGCAGAAGTCAGTCGAGTGCATCGGCACCATTTTTTAAACCGACCACCTCCTTGAGAATCGTCTAGCATCATTAACTCAGAGAACAACGTCAAGCTGTCCTCAACGAAACGATCAAGACCTAAAATTTTGCAGCAAACTTGTGTCACAATAGTAGTAAATATAATCCGGATTGGCTGAAAATTCCTCTCATCCGAAACAACACTCCCAGCACACAGAACTATCCAGAGACATGAACATCGAGTACACTTCGAAGAATAAGTGTTGCGATAAGATATGGACGGTGATTAGTAACGAAGAAAATAACTTCATTTCTTTGACTATGTAAGACGTCAAGAATAACAGGATTGTGTTTGAAAAAATTTTTTAAATGCGTCATAATTATATTCTGTTTAAACGTTTCTCAGAAGTGTACACTATCTCACTCGCTCAAGTAAGATGAGCCGTTTCGATCATATGATTTCGTTGACTGAATCAAACTAACAGTATACTACTAGATTAACAGTTTACAAACTGTTTAGAAACTAATCGAAATATCTATGTATGTGATGCTTATTGTTAGTTTTCAACAACCGTTACCAGTAATCAAAACCAATAATCATGGCTTAATAGTTCTTAATAAAATTGCTGCCGATTCGATAACAATGTTTACTCAAGCTGTATAGTTCGAAAAATTTCCTTCTCAATGTAATATTGTCATCAAGTGTCTAAATGTACTTCAGGTTGATTTTATGATCCACGAGTATCATTCACTGATAATCAATATTCGGTCATGTCTTCGACACAAAGTACTTCAAACAAATGGTTCCACAAATATAGGGTGCTTAACGGAATTACATACCAAACTACACAAATATGTAGAAATCTAACTGATGGTAATCAAATAATCCTAAACAACAGCCTGGATTGTTCGGTTTAAGTTCCATAAAACATCACGTAGTATTGTTATACATGCTTGAACATCTGCACAAATCGTATATGTATAATTGTTCATAGACCTGATTGACAGTTGAAGTGTGTTTTTAGCAAATTAGGTTGACCGTTTTAGCTGTAAAATAATCGAAGTAACATTTATTTAGATATATATGACAAATAGGATTTGATTAATTTCGCCGACTCATTAAAACTTACTATTTCAGAGTGCAGATGTACCATGCGTCGCGCATCACGACACACAAACGACTCTGCAACCATTTCAGCAGTGTTTGTAAACAATAACCAGCACTAGTTCAAAAGTAATTTATGAGAATAGCAACTCCGTACATCCTATTTCCCTCACTTATCTAGCAATAAGTAAAGCTACTAATTTCCTTAAGGTCGCAAAGTCATGTGGTACATGAAATCTCATCCACCCTCTTCAAATATGGCGGATCATGTATTTTATTGTAGAAATTGTGTTCAACCATTCCTAGAGTTCTGCACGTTTATTCTTAGCAGAATTTCAATAAATGATAAATCAGGGCTGGATTACAATTGACTTCAGCTCATCTCGATTGATTCCGAAGTATTATAAACACATCACGAATGTGGTTTATTACCTCACTAAAAGAAATGTAGTTCTTAATTACTCACTTTATTCTATAATTTCATTTATGATAGATTTAAACACTATTCATCCATAAATCATATCCTTTTTCATTGTTTAATTTTATCATCCTATGGATACGATCAACCTTTTCAATTAATAAATAGGCAAAGGCCAGCCGATTTTAAGAAATAACTCTAGGCACATATAATAATGAACATGTTAATAACGCTTCAACAAAATTATCAGTGTGACGTCTTTTTATCTAAATTATCACATGAAGGATGGATACTAGTAGTTTGTATTTAGCTGTAACCCTGATGGACTATTTCTAATGAGAATTCACTGACGAAAGTAAGTAATATTTTCATAACTATTTTCGTTTCTTCTAAAATCTCAACAATATGAATGATTAACTTGATACAGGCTTTGATTTTATCCATAATACAATAGTGAAAGGATTTAAATTTGATTAAATAGCATTATATACCAACTGAAATTGGATAAATCAGTGCATCGATGTAGCATTAAACACGAAATATGTTCATACGTCACAGAAAACGACGTAATGATTCGTTCCTCATATTTTTACACAAGTGAGTTTCCAACCAATAAGGTCTGGAAGTTTTATTGACTGGACATAAGTAACCTCGACCAATAAATGGATAAAGATAGATAAAATCGAACATGCGGACCCTAGAAATACGACTGGAAGGACTCAGTGTTGTGGGAAGCTTCTAGTTAAGGCAGAATGTGCAGACGACTCTAATGAATGGTACTGTGTTACAATATATGTTCAAAGTTACATCAAAGGTTTCCAGTCTTAATCGAAACAACACTAAGTAGTTCAGCATTATAGGAATCGATAAAGGATAAAAAGTCACTTACCTCTCATACACACATTGTAGTAAACATGAAATTGAGACAAATCGAAAGCATTTATTGATTAATACCTAAAACTACTCAAATTCAATTTAACTAATGATGTCACTATTCACGACCCGTCAGCTTGTTTGTATGTAATTAGTAACACGAACAAAACACAATAGTGCTTTTTTCAGGACTTTTACTAGTAAAAGTGACTGGAGAAACAGTTTGAGTAAATGCTTTAGTACATTATTTTATCATAACAATTAAAAATTCCAACTTTAATTTAAGACAAATGGTTGAAAACTAATTTTCAGATGCACATTTGCTACTAATTTTAAGATGCAGTGTGCGAAACCTTTATCACCACCCTGAAAACTCTTTACGGAAACAAATTAAGTACAGTTGGAGCATACAATAATCTTTCTTTAAATTTGAAATAGGTTTTGAAGAGCCTTCTGGATCTCCCTACTTTCAACCTCCTCGAAATCCTCCTAGGAACACTACACGAGTGAAAACTTCCTAACTAAAACGTTATTGACTTTCGCGAGGCTTTTCTCTGATGACTTACAGCTATAATCACTTGGTAACGGCGCTACAAGACTAATAGAAGCAAATGCTTCTGTTCATTATTAACAGCAAACAATTAGACTAAGTTAAATAACGTGTACACAGAGAACAATACGTCTGATAAGACTGATTTTCGGATATGAACAATAAGCAAGCACGAATTGAACCTTATCAGATAGAACCCAGTGTTCGATAGCTAATTATCGAAATCGATACGACTAAATAAACTAGGATAAGCTGCATTTTTGAAGTTATCTTTAAACTTCAATTTTATTTGAACAAATATTTTTGTTTTAAAAACAATTTAATAAACGGAGAATGAATAGTCTAATTAATCAAACCAATACAAATACATCACAACATATTGGAACTCGGTAAATGCATGATATTATCTGTATAAATCTTACAAAAAGTACACGAACTATTTATGTAGCGATAACAGTCGAAAAAAACATCGCAAATATGAGAGGTATTCCCATATGGATAGTAACAAATACATAATATAACCCAATGTATATTTATGTGTATATGAGCTTATTTTTACATAAGATAAAAGCATAGAATAATAAATGCCTGAAAATTAAAAGTCAATGGATGGTAGATATCACTAACAAAAACCATGTTTATACTTACAAAAAAAACAATAAGTACACCGATAACAATGACAAAATCGAATAAAGCTGGTCTCATTTGTCTCTTTCCTATTTTTTTACAAGTCATAAGTAAAAAAATTGGATAAATAAAGTGAACATGATCTAATTTTGGAAAAAAAATACACACAATTCACTGATGCGTTAATAATTAATCTTTTTTTGTTTAATGATACAACTACAATTACAGAAAAGAATAAGTACAAATAGGGAAAATTGTACTTTTTTACTTTCTGGACAATCGTCTTTCTAATACATTCACATAACCAGTATGAATACGATGCACAAAATCATTATCTGTCTGGAAAAGAAAACGGAAAAAAAAACAGTAAAAAGAGACATTAATGGTTAGTAGCAATAAAAACAAACACAGAGAAATAGTTCTTAATGTCTAGAACGAGCTAAGCCTGAAATATTATATCTATATATGCTTTATTATTAAAATAAAGTACTTACAAGTGACAACGAAGTAAAAAGTAGTAACAAGACATAGAAAAAAAATGTCCAGAAGTAATTAAAGGAATTCTTTGGTGCGTTTTAGGATGATGAAGTCTTATAGAGTGCATCAGTTTTATGCATTAAGTAAAAATCATTCAATTTAACTAACGATCATAAACGTTTCTAGAAAATAATGATATGGACAGCAACAGTTCTCAAAATACTGTCCCAAGGACGTTTCTATGATGTATAAATAAACGAGAGTTGTGTGCTTGATTGTAATGTGATTGCTGGGTGTTGTAGAATATACTTTCTACGCTTATCAAGTCTTCTGTTTTGCAGTTTGGGATTCAAGGTAGCCTACCTGGACGCTGGTAATTGTCTCGTTCGCGTTTATCAACTAAGGTGAACTCGTACCAAGTGACGAACATAACAGAAGATGTACTATATTGATGAGTACCGCAACTAACAGACAATTTAGGTCTAGAGCTTGTTGGTAATGGTAACCAACATAAATGAAACCAGGTTAATGCAATCAAATCTATGAAGCACCAAGGATAGTATTTATAATCATAAACTCAAACCAGGAAGAACCTGACAATGATTGCGTCAATGCAAGCATTAACAATGGTAAATAATAATCAGTGCAGGAAAATGAGAAAACTGTTTAAATTGAACTGTTTAAATAAAAATCGCATTGTAAACTAATTTGAAACGAACGAATTGAGGCGACGAACCAGTTTTGTTCTAGTATAGGACTCCTCATTTGAGACCATAAGACTAAGGGGTCAGACCACAGAACCACTAAGCTTAAATCTCATGGTATATAAGATTAACTTCAATCAACCAACCACTGGATAATGGTTGTGATCTAGAGCTTGAGCGTTCGTGCCTGGCAGAAGCTCCTCAGTTCGATCCCTGTGTGTGAGACCGTGAGTGCCCACTGCCAAGTTTCATTCTATAACGAAACAAGCACCAACTACACCCAGATTTTAAATAGTTATTCAACTTAGATTGGTTTGTGATGTCAATAAAATTTAAAATTTCCAAAACTTCCAATTGAATTATAATCGTAGAAGACCTGTGTATTCGTTAATTATAGGATATGAAAAATACAACGAAGCTTACTTGTAATAAGTGAATAAGTGTTTCTCTTAACTGATCTTTAGTAAGACATTCACTCATGACTAATTTTTCGGTTGATGAGAGGGGAACTTTATTTTCTGAAAAAGGACTCGACGCGACATGTTTATTATGATTAAATTCGGATATTACTGATGGGAAAATCGATGGTGTGACGCTGGTTAACATGTCAGGTGTAACAAGTGTGTCTTCTCCAATAATAGTTTTACACTTCGAAGGGAGATTTGAGGGTCTGTTTCCGCTAACTGACCGATTGGATGATGAATGTACTTCATCCGAAAAGTTGTCTTGTTGTTGTCGAATATGCCGTCTTTGTTTACGTTGGCCAGCTCCATAGCTTTTAGGCAAACCACGACCACAAGTGTTTTCACATGCTTCTTCATCATCAACATCATCCACATAACCAGCATCATCACTAAGAAGACGGCGATTTCTATCAACACGAGTATCTTTAAGGCCCTGACGATAGCGTGCAGGGGACTCCACGGCCGATATATTCGATAAACCCTGGTCATCTGGAGAACTATCATCAGTGGCGGTAACCGCTTTCAGTTCACCGGACAACCTTGAGCGTGAAGTAACCTCATCAACGTTTTCAGGAAGCTAATGAAAGAAGGAGAGACAGATAATTATAATATGATTGCTATTAAATGCACCTTTTTATTTCAAATATGGAATAACGACAGTATCACAAGGTAGGTGACAAAGCATAACATAGTACAACTTCATCACTTTTTATTCTATTGGATAAGTCAGTTAGTTACAACCTGGAACTTCGTAAATAATTAAATAATTCCAGGCTGCCATACCGCATTAGCAAAGAGACGCAGCTGTCAGTTTAAATCCAATATTGGTGGAGATAGTAGAAGTATTAGCAGTAAGGCAGAAGGCCTGTATAAGGTTAACAGACTTCTTTGGTACACCTTTTAATGACAGACAATGCCACAGAACCTCACAATCAACAGAGTCGAATGCCGCTTTAAGGTCGAGAAATACTATTACTGTGAGGCGTCTGAACAGGTCTTTGTTCTAGGACCTGATGCAGTGTGAATATTCAGTCTATACATCAACGTCCAGACCGAAAACCAGCCTGGTTTTCTTGAGTCTGCTCTTTAAGAGCTTCCATTAAGCGTCAGAGTATTATTGAGGCCAATATTTTAGATACTATATTAGTTAGGCTGATTCCTCTGTGATTGCCACAAGAGGACTTCTGTCCGTTCCTATGAATTGGAACAATAAGCGGTTGAGACCAGTCAGATGAGATTATGCTTAATTCCCAGATTCTACCTAAGATCTCAGTCAATCTAACTGTTAAAACTGTACCACCATCCTTAAAAATCTCAAGGGTAAGCCTATCAGGCCCTGCTGCTTTCCCTCGCTTCAGATTTCCTATGGCTTTGTCAACTTCATAAAGACTCGAAAGACACATCTATTTGCCATTCAGGTTGACTGGAGATCGTGGGCAACCGAAGTGTGAATCAGTGGCGACATTATTTGATAACAAGGTCGAAGTCTAGTGCCTAAATCAACTTTGATCAAGAACCTACTCAAATGATACTGAGCAGCACTTTCAGGAACGGTAAGCTGCTTGTGGCGGTGTTTCGTTCTCTGAGCTGCTAGAAAAGTGACGGAATTTGAGTGATTAACAACACTATCTATACACTCGCCAATACAAATAACTTTGCAACACTAAGAGAACTTTAAGAATAATTCCTTCAATGTGTTATCTTGCAGATAAGGAATCCTATAAGATTATTATTGATGCCCAAAGTTTAATTAAATCTAACACTAGTTACATATTATACGGGACACAACTAATGTCTTAAATCAGCTTTAATTAGTGTTTCTATCGAGATCCTAGTCACATAGAATTTTCATCAGTGACAAGAAATATCAGTAACTTACAGATATATGCTCCTGAAGTAATTGTTCTTCAAGTTCAGCAACAGAAATATGATTGACAATATGAGATGATTCAGAACTCGGTTTATTTTTCTTAATACTTCTAAAACAAATAGAAGCAAAATTACAAAACAAGAAAACAAAGTGAATATAACCACTAAAACAACTACCTAAACATGTTTGGTACTTATTGTCGATGGGGCTTCTTATACATGAATATAATCACACCTACCATTTGCTAGAATGGTCAGTAAAATAAAACTAATGTAACGCATTAGATAAATAGTGCCAGAAACTATATTTTGTATGTCAATAGAATGTTGGTTTTGAAGATTCAACACCATTCGAATAATTGAGTTTAATATGGTCTCGAGTCTATTCACAATATTTCATTTAGTTTACATTTATTAATACTGTTAGTCTTTATGATGACATTTTTCCGACAGTCCTCAGATCTGTCACTTAGGATATATTTGTTTCACTAAGCTAAACATTCGAACAATGAACAAGTAAAATAACGCTTTATAATATACTAACTTCACTAAACCACCAGTTTTGTTACTTTCGGGGAGCCAAGATGAATATTAATAAACAACACAAATGAGCGGATTAATTTAGATTGATTAAATACATTAGTAGGGAAGTACACTGAAACTTTTCTCCCTCTCTTTCTCTCTCTCATACACAAATAAACCGACATACAAATAAGGGGCGATAATTAATTCTGAAAAAAACAGACTAATTGACACTAGATACTAATGTTGAATGTTAAATAAGAATCAGATCGGTAAACATATTTTGATCAGAAAGATAATATGTCTTTAATACAGATAGAATCTGAAAATTTGAAACGTTTAGAACAGTGATCGATAGACGTAGTGGCAGTATTAGCAGTAAACAGAAAAGATTAGGGATCGAAGATTCGAGAAGTATATACCACCTGGCTGTCCAAACCGAAGTGTATGAGGTGGGATTCCGCATTATTATTTATTAGTTGAGAGGTGACTGGTGTAACGATTACGTTATGGTTTCATAATCAGTGTTAATAGATTTAATACTTGTAATACATTTTATATGAAAATGTTAAGAAATTATAGTTATCTGGTGTATTTTAATAAAGCCTTTTAAAAGTACGATAAATATAGATGAGCGAAAATCATTGGGTAATTGAGAGTAACCACAGTAATTGATGAACAACGCAAGTAGACAAAAATACTACTTACGAAATTCCGTTGGCAACTGGTCCAGAATGATTACAGAATGAGTTATTCCCATTTGAAACTGGAAGATTGCAAGCAGTACGAAAACGTTGTAATTCATTACTGACAGTTATATCTAAATAAGTAAAAAAAAGTAAGAACTTCACCATTAATAACATTTACGACAATAATAAAATCACTGAGATACTAATAATTATTTACTTCTTTTTAAAAAAAGAAAACATAAGTTGGAATAGATTTATTCTTACCTGATGGTGAGACGTTTCGATTACTCTGGAAAAAACAAAGACAAAAATATTTACGTAGATTATTTGCTGATAATTAATATATTTTGTTTGAATAGAGAAGTTGAAGTTTACTAGCTACATGCATTTTACCTGTAGGAAATTCTGAATTTAAGTTGCTGTTTAATGTACTCTTAAGCTTAGTGGCTATAATAATCGGCTTTCAGCTATTTTTTAAGTAACTATTTGATATTCTTGCCGCTAACAAGTTTAGCTTTTACTTAATCGCTGAGTAACGCTTATTAATTTCCACAAACACTGTTTTTGTTTACCGGTCCACGAGCATGTCTCCTAAAAAATGTTTGGAACCAACTACACATGTCTCAGATGCTATCGAGCATTTGAAGTTTTAAAACAGATTTTATGAGTATGAATGATTTAGAAAGTATCGAACGAAATATTAAACAAAAATCAGATTACTAACGCCTAAATTGAAATCAGCTTCTGCCTTGTGTAACATGTCAAATATACTTGGTCCTTCAGAAGGATTAAGTACATTATTATTGTCATTAACTTTGGATGGGTTTGAAGAGTTTATTTTAGAATTTTCATTGGATGCACGAACAAAATCCATTAACTGATTCAATCCTTTTGTAACAGTTTCTGGAGATCTTGGAGCAACCATCACAGAATTTATGGAACTGGAAGATTTAGATTTAGAGTTTTTGGATTGACTCGTAGCTATTTTCAGTCCTAAACCACCGGCATCGTGAACAAGTCTATCAAAAAAATACATGGAGAATAAAATAAACAGTTTTAGGAAACTTTAATGATGAAAAATATTGGGAGCTGTACTGAACTCTAGTAATAAATGCTAGTTTAATCAATCACAAGTAAAATAGTGGCTTGAAATTTAAGGCTTTCGGCCACCAGGTCCCAGGCTCAAACACCGCACAACGTACATTTGTTTGGACAAACAGATATCATTAGCCCCCACACTTAGTGTGGCTTTATACTCAAGTATCTGGGGAATGAGCGGGTGAATTTGCATTATTAAGACCAGTTCTGAGACATGTCAATCAATATCTATAACCATCAGTTGAACTTGTGCGTACGTACATCAGTTCAAGTTGCCATACCACATTAGCACAGAGGTCGAATTGTCAATTCACACCCCATAGTAGTAGAGGTAGTAGAATTATCCGAGATATTCAAAAAGATTAGAGATCGGAGATATGAATTGAGAAGTATACACCACTATCAACTTCAATCGCAGTTGGAGGACTTACATCAACTTACCATTAAGGTTGACTAGAGATCATTGGTAATCGAAGTGTGACTGAAGGATTGCTGACTCTAGCAGTTAGACCATTTGGGAAGCGGAGCTAACACTTCCAAAACATCCCATAAAAATACCGTGCATGACCGGCCTCAAGCAGTTGTTTCTTGGGCTCTGCGGTCACACTCGCCGGTTTCTAAGACCAACACTGATCTACCTTCCTCTTCAGGTTCTTCAAGAAACACCCACGGTGTTGGCAGTCGGGAAGTGACATTTGCCCCCAAACTTTTAACAGCACACGAGACCAAATTAGTCACAAACAAATCCATCCTACACTTCTTAACATCTCACTTACAGAGCTTAGTCTCATAGTTAATAGTTCAAAAGACCGATGCTTTCTCCCAACATACTACACCAACAAACATTGAGTGTTAAGGAGACAAAGAATATTAGCGTTAAATTATCAGAAACCATCAGATTTTCATCATCTTATAATGATGCATTCGATAGCTATACAAAATTTAGAAGATTGATCTCAGGTATGAATCTTATATCAGGATGGTAGGTCGGTCTATGAGGTTACGAAAGTGAAGCGACTGTGCTGATTCATACACATCAAACCACACACCACGATGCGAGGCGGTATGTGATGTAAGAGTATTCTGAGAAACAAGACGATCAGGCTAAAACTGTACACTATCATTTTCAGAACTTTAGAGAATTGTACGGTTTATGGTCACTTTACTCAATATGTAATAGATCAATCAATAATTGAGACCTAGAGTGATGAAACTCATATACTATACGTTACCAAAACAAAAATTGCGAACATTAATAGTAAAACCTTAAAATGAAACAGATATAGGATGAATTTTTTTAAATCACGGACGAAAATAGATGGACTTGTATGAAGTAAGAAGATTAGTTAGAAAATGTGGACACGTACTTGCCAAGTTTTTCCGCAATACGTTCACAATCTGCGCCAGAGAAGAACCAAATGGAGAAGATATCCCCTGTATTATAATTAAATTGAGCACAATTAACATTACCTTTCGGAGTTTTATATAAAAGAAAAGGGGAATGTAGCTGAAGTTGTAAATTTGCAGTTACTAACTCGATTTGATTTAATGTCGGACTCTTTCGATTGAGAATCATGAAAGCGAAAAATGGAACTTTCGATCTAAAAAATATGGGGACAGGTTTCACTCAACACTTACCGCTTATATAGGAAAAATATACCACCAGTTTTCGTTTTAGCCTAAAAGTAAAAAAGTTTGGATGGGAAAGAGTTAGTATTTATGTTCAATGTAAATATTTATCTCATACTATACAATTAACTTTAGTATCACTTGCTTGGCAGTTTTACTACAAGCAACAAATGTTTGAATGACATGTATGCTGAAATACCAATTACCAGCTTGAATGGTTACTTCATAAGACCAGGAAGATAAAGACCAGAAAAGGGTGCAGCATGTTCCTTTTTAATAAACAAATATGTCCACCATGATTTAGGTGGCGTAAGTTTGGTTGTTTTTGAATGTTTAGTGAGAGAAATGGATCTCCAACATTCTTGCATGGGAATCAAGTCAGTCAGTCAGTCAGATGCAACGTAGAACTTTGTACATAAGTACATCAGTTCATGTTGCCATACCACATCAGCACAGAGAAGTAATCGTCAACTCAAATCCAATAGTAGAAGAGGTAGTAA